CTTACAGCACCTTGTATTCCCAAGTTGTCTCCCATCTAGGTACTGACCAGGCTTGACATTGCTTAACTTCAGTGATTGCATGAGAACCTGTTTTTCAAAGTAATATAGTTGTAATCCAGCACAATTAGAGATGACTGTTTTGCAGATAAAAGAGTTAAAATAATTTATCTTAAATAAACATTTTAAATATTTTTATGATTTCTTCTATTTTATCCTTTTTCTGCTGTTAAATTACTTTCAATTTGAAAAAAGTTTTCAAATCCATCGAATCTCTCGCCTTATAATTGAATAATGGAATTTTCATTGCTGGCAAATTTTTGCTTGATTATTTTTGCCACTTTTATTTTTATTATTTTTTCTAATTTGACATTAATTGAGTTTCAGGAGTTGTTTTTGTTGCTGCTGTTATAATGAAATCAGTTGTTTTTACTCAGTGACAAGTTTAATTTTCTATCCAATCAAAATGAATGTTACAATTTACAACATCCCATGTGATGATACACATGATTATTTAAAGAAAAAAGTGTTAGTTTATGTGTGGTGGTAGGTGGAGTAATAAGATTATCTCATGTTTGTTGTGATTGGATAATTTCAAATAAATCTAACAAAAAAAAATATGTGTTAATTTTTATTGATTGAAAACTATTATCTTGATTCACTTATTCATTTATTGAGATAAAGAAGAAAGAAAAGCGAAGAATTTGAGGATAAAATGAATTAACAAATTTTATTTGGGTGATGTAGATTTTACAAGCATAAAATCCTTATGAACAAAACTTTTTGGTCTCTGTTGAAACGTTTTTCTTTTATATGAAAAGCTCAAATTTTTAAACCAAACTTGTAACAATGTATTGTGTTTGTTAATGTTTCACTATATTTCATTTTAGAATTAATATAGTTTACTTAAATTAATAAAAAAATGTCATAATTCACTATGCATTCTATAAAGGTAGATTGAAAATAATGGCAGAAAATCATTGGTTTTAGAATTTCTAAAATGATGATCAATTTTCACTGATTAAAATTCTTTTCAAAAGTCCAACTAAAAGCTATTTTTTTCCCCCGTTTTTGTCTTAGCAGGAAAGACAACTCCCCCATCAAACAGTTTGTTTTAGTCTTTGCTTCAGTTAACTTCAAATGAAATAATCAATAAAACTCTAAAACCCTTTTAAAAACAAAACTAAAAAAATCTATAAAAATGTTTTTTAAAATTTCAAATAAAATCCTGGAAATTAAAAAAAAAAAATTCTGTTCATTTAATTGAATAACCAGATTAATATTCAATCACTATTAATTACAGGATGCGATGGATAAATTGTCATCTAAATTATGCAAAAATGAAAATAACACTGATATGTTATTTTAACAGATATATTTACCAAAATTACACAAAAATATCTTGAAATATTAAAGAGTAAATTTATTCAATAAAATCGCCATTGGCTTCTACCACAGCCTCCAGATGACTTTGGAATCTCCTGCATCTCTTCTGGACAGTCTCCTTGTTTAAGTTGGTGAATGCTGCCATAATCCTTGCCTTCAAGGAACATTATAATCCTTGCCATCTTCCGTGTTACAAGGAGTTTTATTGGTCTCTCACTCAACTCTTACCCACACATAATCCCACACATAATAAGCAAGGGGGTTGCAGTCTGGAGAGTTAGGTGGCCAGATGTAAGGGGTGATATGTTTGCAGAAATTGTCTGAGAGCCATGATTGGGTTCCCCTGCTTATGTAGCATTGTGCAGCCACCTTCTTGACCCATGGCAGCACTACCTCATCAAGGCATTTGATATAGGCCTCTGTGTTGTGTCTGAGTCCATGTGGAAAGATGAATGGAGGCATAACGTTGCGATCACTATTGATCTCTCCAAACACCATAATGTTGACTGGATATGTCATCCAACCCTTTCTGAATCCTCTGCACTGTCCATAGATTGACACCTAAACTCTCTAAAATGCTCATATTGGAGCTTCTGGTGTGAATGCAAAACAGTACAGTATGCTGTTCCCAAATTTCTGGCAGAGTGAACTGCATAATGGTGCTCTTTTTCTTACAGATGGTGCCCAACTGACCCTACCATACTGTGCAGCTGACAAAATCAAAAACAATGCATATGTGCAAAATTAAAAATATAAAATGGTGAAAATTTACTCATTGCTCCCTGTATTTATGTTAAAATAGGTTTCTTTTTCAGTCCTTCTTTTTTTACTTTATTAATAAACTTGTTTAGAATCATTGCAAGCTTTTCAAATAAAAATGCATCTTTTTTCTCATATATCTAACTTCATTCAACACTAGTAAAACCAGCAAATATGTAAAAAACCAAGTAAAACCTGCAGTTATGTAAAAAGCCAAGTAGATACATAAAAACCTGAGTAAAACCTACAAATATTGTATGCCAGTTATTAATTAAGGACCTTACAAGATCCAATTATCATGGTAGAACATTTAGGGGCGAGGGCTTGAAATCAAATTGCTTTTTATATAAATGATAATTATACTTAAAATAGATTTTACAAGTAATGGACTGACTGCTAGGGAAAGACGCAGTTCGCAAAATTTTGGACTTCACTTTCAGTCATCTAAATTAGTCATTTATCTTTCATTCATCTACTAGTAATCCGACTCTCCTTTTTAGTTGAGATTAGATCACAGACATGTCTTTTTTTGATCATTTCACTCCAATCAAGGCAATAAAGCCATTAAAATGCAAGGGGTTACTGAGTGTCAAAGAATATAAGAATAAGAAAAACATTATTTAGGAGACAGAACAATAAACAAACAGGAATTAAGGAGACATAAGATAACAATTGACATTGCATTTAAAAGTTTAAAATCAAAGTTGATTGGTAAGCAAGAAAGAAGTTGGAAGAGAGTTCCACAAGTGTGAAAGAAAGAAACTGCTAGCATAGAACTTACAGTTACATATAGAAATTTCTGCTGTAAAATTATGAGACCTTGCTGTCAGTCTTGTACTGCACTTAAATTCATAAAGTCTACGTACCAAAGAGAAAAGTTCATCAGAACAATTACCATGAAAGTATTTATAGAAAAAAAGGCACAGGGGAGTTATGTTATGGCGGTGAGAAAGTGACTGAAGCCAAGATGCCAGGTCAGGACCAATAACATATTCTTGTTAGGATTTTATCAAGAATCACTAAATATATAGCAGAAGCACAAGACCAGATGTGGCAGTAATATTCAATGCATGAATGAATGTGCAAGATAAATTCTGGCAAGAAAAATTGTCAACTTTTCTAGCAGCAGACCTAGCAATTGATTCAGTATAATCTTTCCACTTCATATCAGTGGAAAACATCTTCTATAAAATCTATAATATTTACTGGTGATTGTATTCATTACTAACTTGACTACTAAGTAAATTAGCACATTTTTTGACTCTGGAAGAAGTAAATTTTGTTCTTATATCACTACTTTTTGGTCATTATGTAAATGGTTAGTAGAACAGGGATTAGGAAAAAGTCCAAGAACTACAAAGGACAGGAAGTTGTGAAGAGCCATGATTGCACACATCTTGAAGAAAAGAAAAAGCTTTATTTTTTAATTGTATAATTTAGTGGGTAGTTAAAAAGTTAAAATGAATGCCAGTTTTGTACATCCTTATTTTTCTCTCACATATTACAACTAGTGATAGTTGAAAACTAGATTAACAAAAAGATGTGCTAACAGTAACTAAACAGATTTGAAATATAACCAATTTTGGAAAGGTTTATATCACTTCTGTTTCATTGACACAAAATGTTCAATATTTACATTGTTTTATACATCATTAGTTTTACTTTCAAATGATTTCAATATTTAAATATAAAAAATTTTTTCTTTAAGCAGTATCATCCCATACAAGGTAGTAAGGCCACTAAAACACAAGGAAGTGGAAGAATTAGGAACAAAAACAGTAATGATGAACAGAAAGAGAAGAGAATAATCAGGAGGATAGTAGATAGTGATTGACCTTGTATTTAAATGTTTGCAGATTAAAATTGGTTGGAAACCATGGAGCCAGAAGAGTTCTACAAGTGAAAAGTGTGAGAGAAGAAACTGTTAGCATAGAATTTACTGCTATATCTCACCTGCTCAACAGTAGATTGATGAGATCTTGATGCCAGTCTAGTACTGTGCTTAAATTCAGAAACTCTACGTATCATAGTGAAGAGCTCATCTGAACAATTACCATGAAAGTATTTATAGAAAAGAAATAGAGAAGTAAATTTTGTTCTATCTAAAATCTAGTTTCCTTGTATTTAGTATAATTTTAAGAAGAGACATTGATATATCCAAAAAGTGTATTCTGCACACACACACACACACACGTATATATAATTTCACCCCAAGCAAGGCAATAAAAACCACTAAGACACAAGGGGTTACAGTGTGTGAGAGAATATGAGAAAAAAAACATTATTAAGGAGCAGGAACAATGAAAGAAGAGGAATTAAGAAGACAGAAGATATAAGATAATGATTGACATTGCATTTAAATTTTTGAGGTTCCATTTTGACTGTAAAGCAAGAAGCCCAAAGAGAGTTCTGTGAATGAGAAGTCTACCAGAAGAAACTGTTAGCATAGAACTTACAGCTAAATCTAGCCACTTCAACTGTAAGATGAGACCTTTCCACCAATATAATACTATGCTCAAATTCATTAAGTCTAGGTAACTTAGAGAAATGGTCATCAAGACAAATACCATGAAAGTATTTATAAAAAAGGCACATGGAAACTATATTACAGTAGTGGGAAAGTGACTGAAGCCAAGATGCCAGGATAGGATCAATAATATTGCAGATTATTCTTTGTATTTTATTGTGGAATGAAGAGATTAGAACATCTGAACAATGTTAGAAATCTATTTTCTTTATTCTATATAAAACTATGGAATCAAACCAATAGACTAGATACTACTATGTACAGAACCTTAGATGTCTAATTTTTCAGTTCATTCCTTTTGCCACAGAGCTAGCTCTGTAGGTGGATGGGAATAGCATTAGTACTCTGTACCAGAAATGATTGGTCATCATTATCATAATCATCATTAGTAGTAGTCTTTAATAAAAATTTTGCTGCTCTAATGAAGA